GACCCAAACAAAGATAACTGATTGTTGAATGTTAAAAGTGAAGCACTTAGACTACGGAAGAACAAATGAAAATTTAAAAAGGTGGTACAAAAACTAACCATGCGTTGTTTGCACAATTTTCAAAAAGAGGAAACAAACATAGACCCAACTAACCTGAGCAGCACTTGTTAGCTCTTCCAGAAAATATATCACAGCTTCATATGCCTACACTTAGGACTCAGTTTAGATGACAAAGTTTTAGACACAAAATTTTGTCAAGCGTATGTCAAAAGTAAAGTAAAATCAAAACAAAAGTGGGTAAAAGTATTTCTAAAGCAATCACTAAAGTTTCCAATTTTGAAAGCATGTGTTGATCGCTGTATTAACAGCCCTTCAAAAGGGGGAGGGGGGGGAAATATACCTCAACACGCTCCCTCTAAATGATGCTAGTACACAGTCATCATCAAGTATCTTCTTTAGAATTTCATTAACCAAACTGGCTAATGAAAAACACACTTCCAATTGACCAGAGGTCAACATTTTAAGTAACAGTGAAAGGAGTTTTAATGATAACTAACATTTGTTAATGCCAACTTGCTTAAATACCCAGGCTTTGAAACACAGAGCAGACAAACTATAATTTTCCCAGGTTCTGCTGGGGTCTTTTTAGGTCTATTATATCTTTCAGACCTAAATATGTCAAAATAACTCTATATGCTGCCCTTTCAGTACATTCACCTGAAACACCCAGTACTCACACAACTCTGTTCATATTAATTCTTCATATACCTTATGCTTTTGCACCCTCACCTCTGCTGTTGTGGTCTGTTCCTACCTGTTGTTTCCCCCAGTTCTTGAAGATGAACCCACGTAAACTAACCTTAAATCCCTACAACTCTGTCAAAAAAAGCAAGTTTTTTGAGTGACAAGTGCATTCTCAGACCAGACAGCGATCAACACAGAATAGTATTGCTCTCTGCAAGAAATCCAACCATTGCTTTAGAGTCAGCAAGACCCCACCCAACATATTTGGAAGGGATAAATTACGCCATAAAGGCTTTCTGTAACAATGGATGATGATAAAAACCGTAACTCTAAAGCAAATCAAAATCTATGCCAGCCCATTCCCTTCTGCTTCAACAAATCTTATATCCTATTAAAACCAAAATCACGTGCTTTAGAAAATATTTCCAATACTAAAAATCTAATGCTGTAAAAGTATAGGAGAGTAGCTGGGAACAAAAGAAAAGCTCTAAGTATTAGAACCTCTTCAGCAGGTAAAAGTAACTACACTGAGAGCAAACAGAACTCACATGCAGAGCAGATCTCATTTGTATCAAACTTTTTACAAAGTCCAATAAAGTAATGATCACGCATTTAATGTATTTAATATAAATCTGCATAATGTCTTCCTTTACATAGGACGCTCGTGGCAGCAGTGTACACATAACACTAACATGAAAGTAGAACAGGAAAATAAGTTTTCCTTAGTGATAAACTAGCAAGAACATTTATGCATTTAAAACAACCTTTTTTTTTTTTTTAAGGTCAAAGATGAATATAGCAGAAAAATACACTTATCAGTTGAAGGGATTACACTTTTTCTTGGAAGGATTTCACCCATGCATAGTTTTGTAAGACTATGAAGTTCTAACTGTGTACTGGAAAGGTAATTTAAAAATAGTATCAATTTCACTTCTGAATTTAAGGTTAACCCAGTCACGTGTTAAGTGAGTTACATTCAGTTCATCTCAACATAAATTAATCAAGGCAGAAAACCTGCATACAATTTGGATTGAAAGCATCCAAGAGGATTTTCCCTCACAAGCAAAGGAATTGGAAACGGTTGGTTCTGTGGCTACAAACACCTGAAGCTGAAAGTTTCAGACGACTAGAATATCAAGATGTAGGACTGAGGCAAGTTGCCAGGAATTAAGAAAGGATGTGGCCTAGAAGGTATGAGATACTCAATGCCATCTGTGGATATACACATTTTTAACCTTGTATCAGATGCTCTTTTCACACTGAGCTAAGGAATTTTGCATTTACTTCATGGCATGAGCATATATAAACAGTGAGGACAGTGCAGACAATATACTATAAATTAACATATGTGGCACATCCAGCAGACTAAGAGCTTTACCAGTTGACAGAGACTAATAGCCAAGAAGAATCATACGGAAATAATTTGTGGATTACACTATGAATTCTTGTAATTAAAGCAAGCAAGAATTCTAAATCAATTGGTCCAAAGAATTCCTATATTCTTAGATATTCTTTATTGTAATCTCATTAACAGCTTTTGTGCAATGTAACTCGAAGAAAAAAAATCTTTGATAGGCTTAGTTATTAAACAGTGAATCTATTTGTAGGCAAGGACAACATATTAAATCTTCACCAACACCTGCCAAAAATTAGCACAGATTAGCACAGCTTTCTTCATCCCTTGATAATGATATCAACAGAGGCTAGAGTAAATTATAAAGTATGCTGCTATCTATTCTCAAATTTTAGATTCGAGCAGTCTAATCCTTGGGAATTAAAGGCAAAGTTAAAAAAAGGAAAAAAAAGTCTTGCTCACTATAAAAGAACTTTTTAATAAGCTTAATTGGCATCATCACTTTTCCTCATTAGAACAGCACAACTTTTTTCAACTTTTTTTTCCGTATTAGAAAATACACAGAATAAGATAGCATCTAATATAGTTAATTCATCTCTTGCCAAATGTTTCCAGTACAGAAGCCGAAAAATGTAACAATTTTAATTATCTGATGTTTATAAGTAATGAGCATTCACTCTTCTCACTGAAGCCAATAGGAATTACTAAAGCTGAGCAGCTTTGAACAGAAGGATGATTCCCACACTCACAGATACATTTTGGCAAGTAACTCTAAGCTACCTACATTTAAACTGTTGGTCTCTGGGGATCTACTTCTCTGTAGTGACAGCACATCTATGATTTCCGAGTGTAAATCCTTTCAAACTGATACCCACAGTGAATAGCCTTATTCTGGTTTTATGTAGTGCTGGAGAGCACGTGGTGCTAAGCAATAACAAAATGTGCAAATCTCCTGCTACAAGTTCTACCCCAAAAAGCTGGAAGGGCACAAGCTGTAAAGCACAGGAAATGCAAAACACAACACGACACAGACAGAATGACAAGTGGTTGTTATTACTGAAATGCGTTACAAAATAAGTGGATTTTCAGGAGGTTTTTGAAGGAGGATAGCGAAGGATCGTTACGTACGTTAATTGGGAGGCTGTTCCATGTGTAGGAGGCAGCGTGGAAAAAGACACAAAGTTGGGAGTGAGCAAAAGAGACAAAAGGGGATTTAAGAGCGATGCTTGGGAAGGGCTGACAGTAAAGGAAATGAGGACCAAGGTTAAGCAAGAACCAAGAGTGCCTTGAACATGGCTAACTGTATGCAAGGGAGGGAAAAGAATTCCTGCCAAAGGCTTAAGAAGCAAGAAAACATGGGCAATCATACAGGAAATGAGAAATGATTTGTGTAGCACGTTCCATAGGGGAAAAAAAAAAAAAAAAAAAAAAAAGAGTTAGGAAGTAGGAGACCAGTTCACATCAAATAACTAGTGTAACAAACATTTCAGTCTCAAATAACAGACAAGAATTTACTTTACTGAGATTATGACTGAAATCCAGCCAGATGTACGGAGTGTGAACATTAGACTGCAGTGATTCCTTATCTAAAATTGTTAAATCATGTGAAAAATCACCAAGTACTGTGAACACCACATGCTCAAAGTAAATTTACATGAAAAAGGTTAGAAAAAAGGTGTTTTAAAAGTGCCATTCAATGTAGCTCTAAAATGTGTTTGTTGTGGTTGTTCTATAAAACAAGTAAAACTAACTCTTTCCACGCACAAATAAACTCTGTCAGTACAGGGTTTTAGCTGTTGCATTCCTATTCATCATCACTCTCACCAGTTGTGAGAAATACACAAACTCTCAGTGCACATGGAAGTTTGATGAAGAAAGCTTTTTAGAGCTGCTATAACATAGAAGAAATCAAATTAAATCTTTTTAAGCATATGAAGGGGAATGAAATACCATGACTTCACTTGCTCTGAGCTAGAAGTATCTTTTTGCATAGTCTAAGTTTACCTTCCTTCCAAGTAACAATTTTGTGTGATTTACTAGTATATATTCATTAGTTCTTGAGAGTTAAGTAAAAAAAAAAAACAAAAAACAAATGAGCAATTTGTCACTAACATTAATAATAGCAACTTCTATATTACTAAGGCCTTAAAAAGTAATATTAGAATTATTATTGCTACTTTCTCTCCTTACCAGTATTTTCAAAGAATTAAACATATTGATTATTCTCAGTACGTGTTTGTTATCTTTTGAGTTTAAACGCAAATGCAGGTCCAAGCAACACACATCAACAGCGGTGGAGCTTGAGTTCAACTCATGATGGCATTGATGTCCACCTCTACATCAGATTAAGTCAAATCATATCATATTTTGCTTGAAACTTCATAATAGACATCTAAGTCTCTATTCCTCTTCCACACAGTGACAATCTATCAGTAGGCTCAATCAGCAGTGCTTACTTACTCTTCTTATTTTCTTTCCACTCATACTGTCACAAATTCACTGTTTAGAATTAATGATTGAATGTTGGTCACTTTCACTGTCTCAGTCACTCAGTAAAGCAGTCCCTCTCTATTTTTCTCCCCCCTTCTTTTGTGTGTGTAAAACAACAGAAAAATAAAAATATTAAAGACATTTCCAAACTATCTTAGAAACTGTCAATTTAGGAATGCTTTCTTTATTCAAGCTCATAGGAAAACTTGTTTCAAATAAAATCTGACTTAAAGAAATTCTACATAGCCTTTTGCAGGTTTTAAAGTGTACAAAGAATAGGCTGTCAGTGACATCCTTAATTACAGAGTAAGCAATTTATGCATCTCTGCACTCTGTGAACGTATGCCATACATGTCAGGTTGAACAAGCTCGTATTACACTATCTCAAACACTCAGGGAAATCTGTACTTACCCACAAATCATGTTCAGCATAATCAAACAGCAGCCAAACCTTTCTGTCACTGTGAGAAAGGAAAACCTTCTGCAATGCAATCACGTTGGGGTGCTTCAATTCTCGTAAAAGCTGCAGAGAAAGAGGGAAGCTCTTGTTACTTCTGTGCTTGTTAAGAAAAGCAAAGACAACAAAACAGGTCAGCACAAAGAGCAAAGAAGTAAACCTAGATGGCCTCAAGTTGCACTAGGAAAAGGTTTAGACTAAGTATTAGAAAAATTTTCTTTACCGAAACAGTGGTGAGGCATTGGAATAGGCTGCCCAGCAGTCACCCTGAGTCATCCCTGGAGGTGTTCAAAAAATACATAGATGCGGTACTTGCGGATATGTTTTACTGGTCATGGTAGTGCTGGGTAGATATTTCAACTACATGGATCTTAGAGGTCTTTTCCGACCTTAATGATTCTACGCTTCTAAGAGAAGATGCCGCTGATTCAGCATATTATCTTCAAAATGTCTAAATAGGGGTATGTCGCCTCCAAGGCATTGGTTGCTGTTCCGCCAGCGGAGCTGCCCACCACCTTTCTCTGTCCCAGGCTCAGCACACAGCTGCTCATCCCGCCTATTCACCTCACTAGTCCTCAGATTGTATCTTAAAACAGATGATGTTATCACACACAAACCTAACTGTCTTCTTATCAAGGGTGAACATGAGGATTTGAGGATGCCAGAACAAAGCTGGTCCAGTTCTCTCTGTAGACAACAGTTGTTGATCATCACATAATTACTGTATTACCAAAAATTTTCTTTTGCACTGGAACCCTGCTCTCACTTGCCTCGAAGTCCATACGGTTGTTGTTCTCAGAACACAAGGGTGTTTTCAAAGAAAAGTTTGTCAAAATCACTTTTCTAACGGTTGTTTCAATTACAATCCTGTAATCCAGAAATAAACTCAAGTTTATTTATGGCTTGCGAGAAAGAAAACTAGGTATCATGACTAATTAGTGAGCACATTAAAGCAGGCACCGCTGCTGAAGTCATCCTTCTGCCAGATTAAATCAGTCTCGGGAGGAGTTGGGAAGCAGTACTCCCAAAAATATCATTTTCATGGAATCCCTTTTTTTTTTTCCCCTTCCATACTGCAATCACAAGAATGATTGATCACTTCTGTTTTATCTGAAAATTGCTTGCATCTGTAGCACTAGTATATAAATTGCCAAGAATCAATTTATAACGGCAAAGTAGTAAATGGAGTAGGTTCTGAGGCACATTTGAGAGAAATGAATCCTCCCTTTTTTCACCTTATGGAAAAAGACTCGAGATGTTTATTTTAGGGAAAAAGCAAGGAATTTTTTAAATTATATTATCCTTTGGCTATACAGCTCTCTTTCAGGTAAAGGCATCTTCTAAAGAATATTACAGCTGCTTAAATTTATTCCAATTTTCCAGCAAATGAAATCATTTAAGTATTTTTTTCTGTTATGCAGGAAGTATTTTCTTCTTTTTGTTTCTTTCTCTCCCTAACACAAAGCATTTCTAGCTGTAAAAGAAGGAAATTTGTTCCTAATGAACTGATTGATAGTCATGCCCAAGTATCACTTAGGAGACACAGTAAGCATCATTTTGTCACTTAAGAAATAGCAGCAGCTTGCGGAATTATAAACTAACAAAACCCAAGAGATTAAAATTGTCCCTTCGACATACATCAAGAGATGTTGTTATATACGTTGTCTTTAGTAATATTAAAAACTGTTTTCCAGTAGGGAAGATATAACGACTCCACCTTTTTTCTTTTTTAAATAAAGAGTTATTTTCATTTTAGGGTAATTTTTAAACTCGGGGGAGAAAAAACCCACTACAGTAGGCACTTTTTTTAATTCCTATTAGATTTTTCATAAAGATACCATTGGCAGCAACAGCAATATAAATCAATTCCAAACTCGTTTTAAAAAAAAAAAAATTAAAGCATTCTCTCAAAACAACTAAAACTTTGCAGTTAGAAACAGTGAAAGAGAATATAGTTCCGTATCAAATGCTAGCATACAAAAACCAAGCTAAGAGAAATATTATGTAGAGAATAAGAACAGAAAGATTGCCTAAAGTGCTGTACATTAACTGAAAGGTGCTATATGAGATAAGAAAGTGTATATTCCGCAGCTCTCCAACACCTCTGCTCATGCCAATCCACACAGCAAAACTGTACACAGCAGCAGTCACCATCCATCAGAACAGCCTAATTAATAAATGAAACTTGAAACCTCATTTTCATACAAGTTACTAAAATGGATATTTTCATATTAAAAAGGCAAATTTCTTATCTGAAAGGACATAAACTAACTTCCAATGACTAAGTTATTTCTGAGGCCCCATTGTCCTCTTATCATTCAACTTAGATGACACAACAAGCATCCTTATCCAAACCCAGCAATTTTCACTTGAAGGAATCAAACTGTTACTGGTTTGATCTTAAACACTGAGTTTTGTAAAAAACCATGAGAACATGAGAAAGAAATATTACTTTAGTTTTCTACCACACGTCTTGAGTTTCTAACAGAAAATGTCTGTGCCTGGCCTGAAGCTGAGGAACCGAACACTCTAAGGCCAGTCTCTGCCGAGTTCTGACGCTGTCATTTCCAGCTACTGGATGACTGGTTGTAGATGCAGCCACCGATGGGAAGAGCTCCCACCAGAGCAATAAAGTCTGTCTACACAGGTTCCAGATGCACTCTCTACCCGCCTGCTTCTCAAGTCTGCTTTGCCCTGAAAAGCCAGCAATTTCTCTAAACCATATTATAAATAAACATGTTAAAAGTGGTAAGGTTATTTTTAAAGTTGCAGTCTAGAAGCATCTAGAAGATGCTGAGATGTTCCTGATACTTTAATCACAGGGGCTTTGGCAGCTTTATAAATAATAATGGATATTTTCTCGCAAGAGGAGTAGTTACAAAGCAAAACATTTCAGAGACATAAATGGTTACCAAAGTATATCTTGTCTAATAGTTATATCTGAGAGGATATTCATAATGTATACACAACACTTATGGATTTGTTCTCCCACTTGAATTCATTCTGTACTTATTTAGACACTGATCAATACTAAAAACTAGACTGAAAACTCGTCAAATTATCTTGTTTCATCTAACAGTGTGTAACAGAAAATACCGGTAAGTTATTATTAAGAATATTGAAATCAGCTTTGTTTTTGATTCTGTACTCCAACAGATGAACAAACTTGTTATGTAAGGAGGAAGGGAACTTAAATTTTATGTTATTCACATCTATTTAAAGTGAATGCTTTATCAGCATTTACCATGGACAATAATTTTGGAAGTGCTTTAGTAGTTCTAGCAAAACAGACCTTTATACCTTATTCTTTCACTGCTGAGCCAGAACAGGAGGCTGTGAAATAGAAAGCTGCGTATCCAAACCAGAAGGGTTTAAAAGGTTACGTTCTGGCTGCTGAGACCACGGGTGCTGCAACAGTTGGAGCTGGACTGAGGAAACCTCGGCTCTAGAGCCCAAGGCACAGGGCCAGGAACAGGAGCTCTGCTCCAGCTACCCTGGGCTTGCAGCGGTGCCGGCCACCACCAAGATGCGATCCAAAACTACAGCTTAGGGTACGAGCGTCTAGCACGAGCCATGAACAGAAATGTTGGTCAAATTTATTGTCTAAACACAGACTGCTACAGCAGAAGAGAGTGTGACCATGGGAACCGAACTGATGTTACTCATGAGGACATTCCGAAGTGTGGAGATGAGGGGAGTTGTTCAAAAAGCACCGAAAAGATGGGATCAGAAAGGAATATAGGGTAGAATCAAATACACAGCCATGGAAATCAAAAGACAGCAAATTTAAGACAAGCATTTTGAAGACAAGTATTGATCTAAGGTTTAGCTAAAAAGAAATCAGACACTTTCAGAGAAACAATATTTTCACTAAAGCAGACAGGCGTAAGCCAGTAATGTGAAAATACAAGGATGTATTTAAAGCTACTTACATCACAGTTGTATAAACCACCTACCCTAATGACTCTTATTCTGTTGATATTTGAATTCTACACCAACTACCTGACTGCATTATCAGTAATTTTTATCTAAATAGCTTCAAAATTATATACTACTTTAAAGTACACCAAGGTAGCATCTAGTTTTTCAGCTAACCCTAATCTGGAATCTTATCTTGCCACTTTTGCTTGAAGAAGAATGTCTTAAGACTAGTTAGGTAAGACTTCTGCTTAGTCTAATGGCTCACCTTCCAGTTTCATCCTTCCACTACTCCCTCTATTAGTTGTCACATGCCACACATACCTAACAGTTAAATCTTTTGACAAACGGTTGTATGTCTGTTTATCACCACGAACACACTTCACAAATGCCATACCTAGAATCCCAAGGGCAACTTCAGAGACACAGTAACTCACTGTCAGCAGCTTTACCACACCACAGGTAGCCACACAAATTTTAAACACACAAACTGTATAAATGAAACATAATACCAACACTATTTTTCTTAGGTCTTGTGCGGAAGTAAATCAGTTTGAAGGCTTGGTTAATTCAAGCCTAAAGTTAGAAAAAAGAAATTAATATACGGTCCTAGTAATGGAGAGATTCCAGTGTATCTGACATATTACTACAAAACAAAGTGAACATAAAAAGGATGTGCAACTGATAGAATTTATTACTGAATGATTACAGAATCATATTTTAATAGTATTTTAGCTTATTGCTCCTCTAAAATCTAAGTTCCATCACAGCCAACTTGCAGTAAAATGGTAATAAAACCCTGTCTCAGGTGAGTTAACTACATTTCTTCATTGGTAACAGGATACAAAGCAGCTGAGGCAGAAATTCATTGAGACAGACATCATTCTGAATTGTCAACCTCTGTGCAACTTTGTCCTATATAATGGCTTTCTTGTAAACATAGCAGATTCTCTTCTTTTTTTTTCTCCTCATTACTCTTCCGGTCAAGCATCTTTGCTTATAACAGTTCTTAGGTGATGCTACAGTCTCAAATTTTAAAATGCTCTGCATTTGGATAGCCTGAGTAGCATGAAACAGCTTGTAGGATTCCAAGCAGCTGCACACTCTATGCAGAATTGCTAGTAACTTCTGATGAGTGATCAGATCTC